GGGGGGGAGGAGGGGAGGGTTAGAGTGTAAGCAGACCTTACCCCTACCTTGTGAAGGTAGAGAGGCTGTTTCTGATAGACCCTCGGCTCAAAGAAAAAGGAAAAGACGCAGAAATAACAATTGGTAACAACAACGAGATAGGTGATAAGGTGATATAGAGATAGAATAATCGAAGCAAACGAACCAACAAATAGTAAAAGAAATCTGCGGATAAGAAGATACGGACATACAAGACTAATACTAATGCAACCGGCACGAAAAGGAGACACGCACGCCTATAGACTAACCTTCTACCCTAATCCCCAACCTCCAGACCCTTCTACATTTAAGATAAAATATAAAAGTAGATACAAAGTTAAGGAGTTACAATATGTGTAAGCTTTAGGTGTTTGATATAAGGAAATTGATCCCATACTCTCCCACAACAACAACACTAGTGGATGCAAAACCATTGGGAGAAGCTCGCTTTTTTCACTAAACATGCATTCTCATTTAGCCGTTACTCCTTATTTTCCACTTCATCCGTCACTAAAAAAAGTCAACATTTCCTATTTAAAGGGCCAAACGGATTTGCATTGGTTTCTCAAATTGAATGTGTAATGCTTTCTAATTCAAAGTTCAAGATTAGTTGTGTTTTCTTCCAACGTTACAACTTCATTAAATAAAGCTTTTTACTTTTGCTACAGAAATGATATAGTAGTTGCATCATCTTTTAGAGAAATAATACAGTAGCTGTTTATTGAAATTATTCCGAACTGTCATATTTCACAAGGATTTCAAATTCATCTACAGTTACTTGTGCAGGTATTGGATAAACGTTGTTTATTAGAGTTAATTAATAAATTTCTCTAACTTGCTGGGAGGTCAATCATATGTTAGCAGGAAACTCACTTTCCTTTCTCGTCACTTTCTTGTCCAGCGCATTCTCTGGATATATTAAGGAATTTAACCTGACAGATATTAAATAACCTAGAACTTACTGGCAGATATCCTTATATATACGGAGATCACCTAAAAGGAAAATCTATCACATTAAGCCAACTTCTGGAAAATACAAAATTGCAAAAAGGAAAATATCCCATAAAAGGTTTACAAGAAAAGACAGTTTCCACAGAAACCGGTAAAGAAATATTTACCTCAAGTGTAGCAAATGTTCCCTTAAGTAGACACGAGACAGCAAAATTTCAGTCTGCAAAAATAAAAGTCATAGCTCAGGCTGACGAACAACAAAAGAAGTTTAGCAGTATCTGGAAGCAGTAAGTAATGTTAGATAAACTGCAAAGTCATCTCTCTTGCCTTAGAGCAGTATCTATCCAACGGGTTTTTTTCATTATAAGCTAGTGTCCTTCAAGAAGAAAAGGAGCATCACCGGTATCGAATTAATCTGAACTAAAAGATCAATGACAATCACCCGAAAAAGTTTGTAACACATGTAAAACCTTTTTTTTCCTTTTTAGGGTGCTCTCTCTGATATCTCGTATCCTCTTCACTTCATCCTTCCCTTACTCCCCAAAATTTGTAAATTCAGAATCACAGATCTGATTGTAGAGAATGACACAACTCAATGAAGTCATATTCTACGACAGATTGTGGCCAGATCTCATCAAAATCAAAATCTGATGCCAAAAACATAACATAGGAAAGACATATATGACTGATCAGAAAAGGAAAGAAATATGAATCCTCATGGATACATGCATGACCATCAAGGTGGTAGTTTCAATGGTATAATCAAAATAAACCAACTAAGTTATTTTACGACGAAAAGGCACCAACTTTTTGGCGTCCCTCTTATTAGCATACACCATAATATATCAAGAAACGAATGCAGGGATTAACACTCACCCATATGTGAATCTAGGGAAATGCTTTGGCTGCAATGGAAGTAAATGGCAAAGGGAAAAGTGGGTGGTGAGTAGGGACTATTTAATAAAACACGAGATTACAGTAATTCATATTCTTCAATCAGCAATTAAACAGTTATGAACCGAAGATAGTAACAAATTTAAAACAAGAGATTACAGCAATAACAGTCAAGAATTGAGGATAGTAACAAATTTAAAACAAGAGATTACAGCAATAAACAGTCAAGAATTGAGGATACTAATAAATTTAAAACACGAGATTACAGCAATCAAGATTCACGAATAGGAACAACCTTAATTACAGCCGCTCACATAGAGAGAAATGCATGGAAATGGCGATATGAGGCAGTGCAGCCTCCTCGCATTTCAAACCAATATGTAGTCTTTAACATACACATGGAAAAGGGATCTTTCTTGAGTATCTTCATACTCTTGTCACTACTATTGTGGTTCTTGGGCATTATCATAAATGAGTTCCTACTGAAGTGCTATTGACCCTTTTGCCTTTAGACTAACTGACTAGTCTTTCCCTAATATTTCTCTTGTTTGTGCTGGCTTTGGGTTTTGCTGGATATGCGCCTTCAGTAAGGAAAATCAGGGTGATTTGCACAAATAGTATCATTTCGGGTACTGGTTATCTTTTATACCTCTTTAAAGAATTTGTGCGAAAATAAGCCTTTTTAAGTTTACTGGGGAAAAAATCTGGACTATAATACTCTCCAACCTAAAATAGCCGAGCAGGATACTCGAACTTTAGATCGAACATCACCAAGATTTCGCATTCAAATTCGGTAAAAGTATAATTCGGTAAGTTAGGAGCACCTTTTCCTATTGTTTCACAATTTCAGCCAAACTGCTAGTACATTTATGCAAACAGATGACTTCCCAAAATTTAAAAGATGATGAAAAAGCTAAATCGTATGGGTCTAAGCAAAAGTCCAGCAGTGGAAAAAAAAACACAGTTAAATTTTTTATCTCTACGTGAATAAGTTTGAGAAGAAGTGAAAAGAACCTTAATGTCAGGAATTCTGACTGCATCATTTCAATTCAGTCTAGCATATCTGCTAACGAATAGACAATTACAGTAATAAATTTATAATGTAATTCTAGTCAATATCTAACATAACTGAGATGACTAGTTATCTGAAAATGCTCATGGCAGTATCTACTTTTAAGTTTCAAGGGCTAAATTGATTCTTGAATTCCAGTATCAAACCTAGCGGATTAAGGTTGCTACTCGGTCATGCAACACTAATCCACATTATTCACTCCACCCCTCTCCTTAAACATTTCTGAAGAAAAAAGGGAAAGACAACCCAGACTAAGATCATATTATCCTCCAACCTTTTGTCCTAATTTTACTGGATATTTTTTGAAAGAACTCAATCTTCTTAATTCTCAAAACCATAATAGATTCTAATACAAAAAGACACTGTTTTACTTGCACCTAAGAAAGAAGCACAAATGAGGTATTCAAATACTGCAGAAAATATTGCACATTAAATAATTTGGACTGAAAGAGTACATATTAAAGAGACATTTATGTGTATTCATACAAGCACAAATGAGTTCTTTTTAGTAAGTAGTACAAACAATCAGGTGCACGTAACTTTGGAAACTAAGTTAATTCAGTAATTATATCATATCCTAAATGAAGCTGCACCATATAAAGAGGTATTCAAATACTGCAAAAAATATTGCATGCATGTGCGTACCTATTATGTAGTTAATACATACACATTTATGCATATTAATATTAACACGTTTCTCCCACTAATTTGAGCACACAATCCAGTACACATAACATAGCAAATAGATCAGTAATTATATCAAGAACTAAAAAGAAGCAGCACCAGTAAAGGAGGTATTCAAAACCAGCAGAAAATATCCAACAAACCAAATTTGTGATATAAGCTACTCAAAACCAACATGAGTAGTAAGTTATGTTTAGCTTCGAGGTCTGGCTAAATCTTATTATCATCGAAAAGCAAGAAAAAGCATCAAACTTACTAAAAATAGAAGAACTAAAAACCATTGTTTTCTCTATCTGAGAACGGTTCCTTATTTTTAAGTTCTGCTCAACTCTCTTGAGCACATCAAACAACCAGATGCAGAAAGACGCCACCAGTCGGTTCACCCAGCCAAACTGTAACTGATTACTGCAGCTGGCGAGCACAGAGTGCACGGATTATAAGTGTAGAATAGCCAATGCATCCCTCTTGCAAATGGGGCAAGAGTTATTGCGCTCGATCCACTTTTTAATACAATCAACATGGTATAGATGGCCACAATCAGTTTTTGCGAGTTCTTCCCCGTCGCAGTAGTCATCCTAATACACACATGACCAAAAAAGAAAAAAAGAAAAAAAGGTTAGAATCAAACTTAAGTAAGCTGACAGACTTAAGGGGGGGAAATTCTGAAATTAGGTGCTCCTTACCAAGCATATGCAGCAGTTCTCGTTGCTCTCAAGAGATGTTGATGACTCGTACTTATGCAGCTTAATGCTTAAATCAAAAGCTCTTGCTCTCCATCCAGCATTAACATTTTTCAGATACCTGTGTAGTTTGAATAATTCCTGAAAGATAAAACACTTGTTACGGGATATCATCTATTCAAAGTATGCTGTATCAAACATTAATTTATTGTGTTTCTAAAGCATTACCTCAGAAGGAAAAATACCCTGCTCATCATCTTCATCTTCTTCGTCTTCCAATTCATCATCACTTTCCTGAAATGTTGGACTCACTTAGGAGCAAACTCATTGAACACCATACCAACAACAAAATTGCACGATAAATTTATAAGAGCAGAAGAGAAATTCTAGCCTTAGCTCTGGGTTATACCAAATTGAGAAATCTGCAACAAACTTCCCTTCATTTTTTTAACTTTTATTTTTTTAATGAGCAACAAACTCTTAAATGAGTTGAATGAATAACCCGACAGCATTGTTCTTATCCAGTTGCAAACAGAAGGTAGACAGTAGGTAGAGAATACAACTACTCTTACATAATCAAGCAACAGAAGAAGTTACTCATGCAAGCATAAGAACAAATTATTGGGTTGCAATATTCAGATGCTAGTAACAAGTGGTGTTAAAACTGATAAATATCATTTTATATGGAACTAAACGTGTGCACAAATACACATGAAATGAAGCTCAACTGAAAAGTCACATCATTCCTATTCGTATTCATATAGACAAAAGTTCACAAATCCCTTGTTTTGAGTACAAAGAATTGGCGTTGGCATCGCAGTTCCTGAGCTAGGTCAGGGTAGAACGCTAACTTTGTCTATGATTTATTTATTTTCAATTAAGTGATACTCTGTCCTTTTCTTTGGAATAATGTGAAATTTAGGTTATTGGGAAGGCACAGAAAACTACTACTCATAGAAAACTTACAGGTTAGCAAGATTTTAAGAACCATCGGCTAATACATGTATTTATAATTAATGCAACTCAACAAGGAATTATTGGAAAGTAACAATAAAATTTTCTGAGGAAGCAACTTTTTCCTAAGCAGCAAATACCTAAAATACTTAAAAATGTACAATTAAGTTTCAAATCAAGTGTCAAACACGAATATATTGATAAGACATGGTAGAGATAAACAAACAAACTGAAATAGAGTTTTAAAAAACATTAGATGGGTAGAAGGGAGTTCTCAAACAAAGGGGAAATTAGCAACGAAATATTCTAGAGAAAAATGTCATCATCTTTAAATCCTTCTCCAAAATCAATATCTGCAACGAGCCCAATTTTGTTAAGGAATAGATGGCTAAATAATATAGAACCATCAGCATAAAAAAGAGGAGTAAAGTGAAGAAACTTAACTGGAATCATGAGAGCAAGATTATTTTGAATCAAGAAAGTCAACGCTGCTGTTGTTTCCTGCAGTCCCCGGATCACGGACACAATACTCTCAACCATCCGTTCAGGAGTATTTTCAACTCTTACCCTATAAGCACCAATTGGATTAGTAGCAGCATTAAGAGTTCCGTTGAAGGTCAAGTTGCTGTCACCATTAGTTCCGTAGCTCTCCATCTGAGGTGCAATAAGAAATGAATTGCTGTTTGTTGTAACAATTGGTTGAGATATTGAAAGAAGGGTAGCTTAGTGAAGAGCTTGAAAATCTCTCCTTTATTTTTCTAAAGAAGGTAAGAGAAGAGCTAGAAATTTCTTTTCAGCAGAATTCCGGAACAAACTAGGAGGAGGAGGTAACACTAATGTAAACCACCAGTACAGTAGGTGATGGGAAAAACTAAAGGGCAGCCCGATGCACTAAGCTCCCGCGGGGTCCCAGAGGAAAGGCCGGACCACAAGGGTCTATCGTACGCAGCCTTACCCTGCATTTCTACAAGAGACTGTTTCCACGGCTCGAACCCGTGACCCCCTGGTCACATGGCAACAACTATAGCAGTTACGCCAAGGCTCCCCTTCCAAGTGATGGGAAAAACTACCTCATTAAAAGACATTCTAAGTTGAAATATAAAGAAAAAGGTAGATATACTATTAAGCTCCAAACCACTCTCAAAAAGCTAGTAGTTTTTTTATTTTATTTAGTTGGAACAAGCTAACTCCTGTAAATAGCCTGGTTATGTTTCGGGATTTTGTTAGCTCTCTGATTCTAGAATAGGCCTGATGTACTAGAGCTATCATTTCCTTTTTTGTGTTTCCTCTTTTGTACTCCAGCATCTACTTGATGCATTATTAAAGAAACAACTTACTTCACAAAAGAACGGTAGATATACTATTAAGGGTTGCAACTAACATGTCCAACTAGGTTAGTATTAAACCAACCCAAGACAACACTAAATCCTTTGGGTGGGGGAGGAGGGGAAGGGAAAGAAAAACAAAAACTTCTCTGGGAATAGTTATTTTGCATTCTTAGATACGCGGATGATAAATCATAAATGCAACTTGGAAAGTATTATACCAACCCAAGCCAAGTCCAAACACCTAGAGGTCAAAGAAAGGAAGAGAAGGAAAATTGAAACTTAACTTAGCTATTTGGCGTTTAGTATCAGGAAAATTGATTACATACGTTCCCACATTCGGAAAACTAGTTAAAAACTATCCGGAATCTCACTAAACATGCATTTCCTTTAAGCCGTTACTCGTTATTTTCCACTACTTCACGAAAAAAAATCAATATTTCATGATTGAAGAGTAAAGTAAATTTCACATTAAGCCAACTTCCGGGAAACACAAAATTGCAAAAAGGGAATTATCCCATAAACCGTTTACAAGAAAACACAGTGGCCAGAGAAGCAGGTAAAGGAATATTTACCTCAAGTGTTGCAAATGCTCCCTTAAGTAGATACGAGATAGAGAAACTTCAGTTGTCTGCAAAAATAAAAGTCATAGCTCAGGCTGACGAACAACAAAAGAAGTTTAGTAGTATCTGGAAGCAGTAAGTAGTGTTTGATAAACTGCAAAGTAATTCGAACTCTCTTGCCCGAGAGCAGTATCTAGCCAATGACTTTTTTCATTATAAGCTAGTGTCCTTCAAGAAGAAAAGGAGCATCATCCGTATCTAATTAATCTGAACTAAAGGATCAATGACAATCACCCGAAAAAGTTTGTAACACATGTAACTTGTCAATCAATTGATCAACTTTGCTAATCCCAAATTACTTGGGGTTGGCTATATGAAACCTTTGAATCTACTCCACTCTATTTAAGATCTCCCTCACACCCAAGAAATGAAATGAAACCCCTTGCTCTTTTAGTATTCAAAAGGTTCACCATAGGTAGACTAATTTTTAAGTAATAACATTAATTTTTTTTAAGAAAAAGGAATAAAAGGTGTAAAAACAACAAGGAAGACATAAGAATAGAAGGTCCTTCGTCTCTAAATGGGAGAGATTTCAAATGCTAACATATAACAACTTTCATACTGTATTTTTTTATAACTGTGGTATCCAAGCCAGCTTGCGCACACCATGACTAATTCCACGAGATACCTGTCACCTCCCACCGGTAACAAGTACCAAGTAACTCTGTCCACCAGATAACGTTATACATCCAAAAAATGAGCACCACCATTAAGTTCTTGCTCGATCTAAAGGATATAACACATGCTCAATTTCCGACTCATCAAGAGCAAGGGCTTTTATCGACCCAAACCAAAGCAAGTACCTAATGCAAGTAAATTTTCCTTTCTTGGTTTCTTTTTTCCTTTTTTGGTTCCTTTTTTTCATTTTT